GACGAAGAAGAAAAAGAAAAAGAAAAAGACGAAGACGAAGACGAAGACGAAGACGAAGACGAAGACGAAGACGAAGACGAAGACGAAGACGAAGACGAAGACGAAGACGAAGACGAAGACGAAGACGAAGACGTAGACGAAGAAGAAGAAGAAGAAGAAGAAGAAGAAGAAGAAGAAGAAGAAGAAGAAGAAGAAGAAGAAGAAGAAGAAGAAGAAGAAGAAGAAGAAGAAAAAGAAGAAGAAGAAAAAGAAGAAGAAGAAAAAGAAGAAATGAGGATTCAGGTTAAGTCACGGGTGTTCTGAAGTTTGGAGCATTTTACAATGTAGTGGGAGAGGAAGGCATCTACAGAGACGAAGCCAGGGCTACGGTACCTGCACAGGTGCAAGATATGGAGTTTGAAGTAAAGTTCATATTTTATTCATTCTAGATTATAAATAACATAAAAACTTGATATACATTGTTTATTATATCATATTAGATGAATTGTGATAGATAAGTAAGCTGTATAGTGATATTAGCATCATATTGAAGATGTGACAACTCTGCTTCGTGTGTAATACCTGTTGGTTCATGAGCGGTTCAGACAGAAAAGCAGACAGAAAGACAGACACAGGTAGACAGACACACAGGTAGACAGAAAGACAGATATACAGGCAGACAGATACAGAGAGATTTATGTGCAACAGTGAAAACAAATAGAGTTCGAGAGTAAGAGCCTTTCTTGCCTTCTTGCCACAATCTCCAGTGCAAAATTCAGACTTCCTTATAGGGACCATGGTGAAATTTACTGTTCAGTTAGTACAGTTAATACAGTATGTATGATGCTGCTGATAGGGCAGGGTAACTCAAACTGATGCTGCCTGCATGGCGCATTGCCGCCACGAGCATTTTCAAATATTGTACAGTGTCATGTATCAGCCGGCCCAGCCCAGCTGCCAGATGTACAGTCGTAAGTCGAGTGGACATATGTCGAGCAGGTCGTAAGTAGGATGGTAGGTGTATATGGAATAGGTAGTAAGTTACTAAATGCTGTAAGGAGTTTTATGAAGATAGTGAGGCTCAGGTTAGGGTGTGTAGGAGAGAGGGAGACTATTTCCTGGTAAAGGTGGGATTGTGTAATGTCACCATGGTTGTTTAATATATTTATAGATGGGGTTGTAAAAGAAGTAAATGCTAGGGTGTTTGGGAGAGGGGTGGGATTAAATTATGGGGAATCAAATACAAAATGGGAAGTGACACAGTTACTTTCTGCTGATGATACTGTGCTTATGGGAGATTCTAAAGAAAAGTTGCAAAGGTTAGTGGACGAGTTTGGGAGTGTGTGTAAGGGTAGAAAGTTGAAAGTAAACATAGAAAAGACTAAGGTGATGAGGGTATCAAATAATTTAGATAAAGAAAAATTTGATATCAAATTGGAGAGGAGGAGTATGGAAGAAGTGAATGTTTTCAGATATTTGGGAGTTGACGTGTCAGAGGATGGATGGCTGAAGGATGAGGTCAACCATAGAACTGATGAAAGAAAAAAGGCGAGTGGTGCATTGAGGTATATGTGGAGACAAAAAACATTATCCATGGAGGCAAAGAAGGGAATGTATGAAAGTATAGTGGTACCAACACTCTTATATGGGTGTGAAGCTTGGGCTGTAAATGCTGCAGCGAGGAGGTGGTTGCAGGCGGTGGAGATGTCCTATCTAAGGGCAATGCGTGGTGTAAATATTATGCAGAGAATTCGGAGAGTGGAAATTAGGATGTGTGGAGTTAATAAAAATATTAGTCAGAGGGCTGAAGAGGGGTTGTTGAGATGGTTTGGTCATTTAGAGAGAATGGATCAAAGTAGAATGACATGGAGAGCATATAAATCTGTAAGGGAAGGATAGCAAGTAGGGGTCGCCCTCGAAAAGATTGGAGGGAGGGGGTAAAGGAGGTTTTGTGGGCGAGGGGCTTGAATTCCCAGCAAGCGTGTGAGCGTGTAGGTAGTAGGTTGGTAGACAGCTACCGCCCAGGGAGGTGTAGACTACCATCCTGCCAAGTGAGTGTAAAATGGAATCCTGTAATTGTTTTACATGATGGTAGGACTGCTGGTGTCTTTTTTTCTGTCTCTTAAACATGCAATATTTCAGGTACATCTTGCTACTTCTACTTACACTTAGGTCACACTACACATACATGTACAAGCATATATATACACACCCCTCTGGGTTTTCTTCTATTTTTCTTTCTAGTTCTTGTTCTTGTTTATTTCCTCTTATCTCCATGGGGAAGTGGAACAGAATTCTTCCTCCCTAAGCCATGCGTGTTGTAAGAGGCGACTAAAATGCCGGGAGCAAGGGCCTAGTAACCCCTTCTCCTGTATAAATTACTAAATTTAAAAAGAGAAACTTTTGTTTTTCTTATTGGGCCACCCTGCCTTGGTGCAATACAGCTGGTTTGTTTAAAAAAAAAAATGTGCGAGTGTGTTAGATAGGAGTGAATGGAGACGAATGGTATTTAGGACCTGACGAGCTGTTGGAGTGTGAACAGGGTAATATTTAGTGAAGGGATTCAGGGAAACCGGTTATTTTTATATAGCCGGACTTGAGTACTGGAAATGGGAAGTACAATGCCTGCACTTTAAAGGAGGAGTTTGGGATATTGGCAGTTTGGAGGGATATGCTGTGTATCTTTTTATGTATATGCTTCTAAACTGTTGTGTTCTGGGCACCTCTGCAAAAGCAGTGATTATGTACGAGTGAGGTGAAAGTGTTGAATGATTATTGAAAGTATTTTCTTTTTGGGGATTTTTTTTTTTGGGTCACCCTGCCTTGGTGGGAGACGGCCAACTTGTCAAATCAGACCCACATAAAATTATTCACTTCTTTTATTACCCTGTCTATAAAACATTAAACAACCATAGCTACATCACACATTCCTGTAAATCTCATTTAAGAATAAATTGTCACCTAACTTGAGCCTCTCTAAAAATTAAGCTTTTATCAACTTATTACTTATTCCATACATTTACAAGACTAGCCCCCATTGCTTCTCTATCATACACCATACCATATGTGTTTCCCAAAAATTTAACTGCAGCAAACAACTCCTTGCCCTTATCTAAGGAATCTTCACTTACATGCTATAATACAAACACTTGGTCCATATAGTCCCTTTATATAAATTCACATTCTCTGCAGTCCTACTTTCTTTCTCATTACTCTTTGGATAATCTGCAACTCGAAAGATTGGATATCAGGTTGGAGGGAGAGAGTATGGAAGAGGTTAACGTATTCAGATAGTTAACCATTAAACTGTTCAAACGTAGATCTACGTTTGTGCACATAGCGCTCCGAACGTAGATCTACGTTTTTTTACATAAGAAACAATGTAAAATTGAACGTAGATCTACGTTCGGAGCGCTACGCGTGAACGTAGATCTACGTTTGGACAGTTTAAGGGTTAAGAGTGGACGTGTCAGTAGATGGATCTATGAAAGATAAGGTGAATCATAGAAATGTTGAGAGGAAAAAGGTGAGTGGTGCACTGAGGAGTCTGTGGAGACAAAGAACCTTGTCCATGGAAGCAGAGAGAGGAATGTATGAGAGTATAGTTAAACCAATGCTCTTACATGGATGGTGAATATTGCAACAAGGAGAAGGCTGGAGGCAGTGGAGATGATGTGTCTGAGGGAAATGCATGGTACGAATATAATGCAGAGAATTCGTAGTTTGGAAATTAGGAGGTGCAGGATTACCAAAATTATTATCCAGAGGGCTGAGGAGGGGTTATTGAGGTGGTTCAGATATGTGGAGAGGGTGAAACAAAATACAGGAGGCCCTCCACATTCTTGAGGGTTAAGGAATCAAGAACCTCGTGAATCTAGAAAGTTCGCAAATGTTTGGTGCTCAAATATAATGTAGGGAAACATAATAATACTGTACTGTAGCATTCGCGAGTGTTTTGATGCACAATTTTTTTTTTTTAACAAGTCGCCAGTCTCCCACTGAGGCACGGTGACCCAAAAAGAAAGAAAATCCCCCAAAAGAAAATACTTTCATCATCATTCAACACTTTCACCTCACTCACACATAATCACAAATATATTGTAAGGAAATATAATAATAGCATTTACTTATCCTAACACTACTGCTTCCTTAACTTATTGAACCATGAACAATCATAAAACACACAAAAATATCAATGAGGGGGGTAAGAGGGAGGGTAGTAGGGACGCAGTGGGAAGCATTTTCCCATACTTTTTTCCTGCATGGGTATTCGGCTGGGCATTCGCAAATGTTCGAAGCTCATGAAAGTGGAACTCACAAAAGTGGAGCGCTAGCTGTAGAATGACTGAGAGTGTACAAATCTGTAGTATGAGGGAAGGAAGGGTAGAGGTCGGCCTAGAAAAGCTTGGGAGGGGGTAAAAGAGGCTGTGTGTGCGAGGGGCTTGGACTTCCAGCAAGCATGTGTGAGCATGTTAGATAGGAGCGAATGGAGCCGAATGGTTTATAGGACTTGACGTGCTGTTAGTGTGAGCAAGGTAATGTTTGTGAGGGGATTCAGGGAAACCAGCAGGCCAGATTTGAGTCCTGGAGATGGGAAGTACAGTTCCTGCACTCTGTAGGAGGGGTGTTAATGTTGCAGTTGTATAACTGTAGTGTAAGTGTGCCTCTGGCAAGACAGTGATTGAGTGAATGATGATGAAAGCTTTTCTTTTTCGGGCCACCCTACCTTGGTGGGAAATGGCCAATGTGTTAATAAAAAAAAAATTAATTATCCAATATACTCAACAGACATGTACCCCCAATAATTCTCTCCCACACTCTTGTTCCCCTTTACCTTAAAGAATAAATAGAAATTATAGATCCTCTCTGTAGTCCTTAAGTGCTGTCCCTTTTATCATATACATGTATTATATCCCAACCTACTGAAAGATACTTTAATTATTTGAGCAATATTACTGCATATGATTCATGTGCAAAAAAGAAAGTTTAACAAATCAATTTTCAAGTAAAAGATAACAAACCTAAAATCTGCTTCTTGTAAGTCGCAACAACAACAGTTTGAAGAAAAATTTTGGCTAAGTCAAGCACAGCTAGCCTCAGCAAGTTGGCTACCATTATCGATGGAGTTATTACCAAAATTCTCACACCTGAAAAAGATGTATTTATTAAATTTTCTATGGTTTAAATGTTTAAGAGTGGCACAAAATGCTAAGTTGGCCAACATCATTCAAAAAACTGAAATAAATTTCCTTTTTGCCTTTAATCAACAAATATGCAGCATTAATGTGGACCCCATGTTGAGATAAACACAAAGCAATACTCAATTTTTTACCAGTACTAATTCCACAAGGATTAACCCAGATGAAAGATTACTGATTAGTTTTTTTTTTCTTGGAGAGGGAAAGAAAGGAGTTTGATGCAATATGTCACACTGAGTCAGAACTTGCCATGGTAAGAAGGAAGAGTGCAAAAGCATTAAAAATGATCTTGCAAAAACTTGCAAGAGCTTAAGTACTGTACAGAATAATCAAATCTCATTAGTGAAGCAGTTTCCACAAAAGTAAAACACAGTATGTGCATGAATATCTAACCAAAAAAGTTATGACCTGTCTTTGAAGGAAGTGCACTGGTAATCCTGACCCATTTCACTAATGTTAAGTACCAAACTCAAGACCTATTTGATGACAACATTACTTCTCTCTTGAATTTTAACCTCATGGCTGAAAATAGCAGTCAACACTGAATCCTTACTTGCATAATAACCAACACACTTACTAGTTAAGAAAAGACCTCTTACACAGTGGTAACAAAAATCATCCAAATAAAACCTTAATATAAATAGGAAGAAAAAATAATGGTAAATCCTTTGCTCAATACCTGGACAACAAACTGAAATTTAATGCTTTTATTCACCACATCAGGAAATCTCAAATGTGCATATACAGCCAAAGACTCACTGTTATGTACCTTGCCTTACAATGCTTATACAAACATTAATCTGCATTTCACCTACGGTGTCTATGCATGGGGTCAACAACCAATCATCACACAAAAGTCACCCATCAACACCCCATTAGTTAACTTTTGACAATGCTCACCATTATTAGTCAAAGCTATCAACTTGCTAACCCAAACATAGAACTCGTCCTTGAGAGTTACAACAAAATCCATGGCTATCACAAAAGAAATAACTAATATTTCACCCATCAAACTGATAGTAAAATGCAGAGGTGCGTTTCAGATATCCTTCCCCCCTAAAAAACAAAGGCCTAAGCATTTTTACATGAGCAAGATTGTTTGGTAAAAGAGAGACTATTGAACAGAGAAATATGCTAATAAGTCACTTACCTGGAACAACTGGAAGCTTAAACAGATTCCTGATTGCCTCCACAAGGAACTCTATGGTGTTACCAAGTCCCTCAACATACAAATCTTTCCAGCTCTCATGGTAAAGAGAATCTGCATTCTCTAAATGAAGAAATAATAATTAGAGTTTAAATTCATCCAAAGGGATACAGTATACAGTACTTACAAACTAAAAATCACTTTACTAATAAGTGATGTAATTATCCATTCAAGTTTATGAATGAGCTCTAGCTCTGATTCTCTTAACTTTCTAAGGACTCGCATGAATTAGTTCTATCATATTTATGTCTGAAACCATGTATGGACTCTACTTCAAGCTAATTATTTTCACTTGTTTACTATCATGCCGAAGAAGTGTTTTTTGATATTACTGTGCTTCAGTTAGGTGTGCACTCTCTGTCACTTCTTGATTTACAGCCATTCCTTCATAAAATGCCTGTCCTTGTCTACCTTGTCTATGCCCCAAAGTAATTTACATGTCATGATCATGCACCACATTGTACACTCATCTAGGGACAAGAGATTTAACTCTCACATTCCACCCTGAGCTGTCCTTGAATTCAGACTCCAATCAGAATTTTAAGCTTTGGATATCAAATTTTATTCATTGCTCAACTAGGCGAGGATTCTTCCTAGGTATTGTGTACTTGAAGACTGGTTACTTGTATGTAATAGTCTTGATGTCTTTGCCTAGATTCTCGAAGTCATTTTTATGTTTGTCAGCCTAGCTTGTACCATTATGTTATTCTGTTTATGTGCCTTTCAGTGAACAGGTTTGGTGTAGCAATTGCTCCTAGATTTACTGTTTTCTTTGTTTAATTCCATAATTTGTTTATTCTTCCCCCTCCCAGACAGTACAGTCTGTATCTCCTTTCCTTATCACTTTGGAGAGGGAAAGAGTTCAACTTGAGTAAATATTTGTTCCTTCAGTCAATCCAGGTCTTCTTGCAGCCTAGTCCTCTCCTTAATTACCATCATCTTCCTACTTTCGGCATCATCCCCACACGTGGATATATAAAAGTTCACCATCAGGACACTGACCTACACTAGTAGTAATATGGAGTCTACATCTAAACCCTGGAGAACTCTATTCATTACATTTGGTCATCCTAACAGTTCATACCTTTTACGGGTTATAAATGTTAATGATTCTGAGGATTAACACCCCTGCAGCCCACTCTCAGATCATGTCTTCTATATGACTTAATATACTAAGAGAAATAACAGCTATTAAAAATACTGGTAAAATAAACAAAAGTGTACTTTGAATGTAAGCAGAAGTACTGTATACAAGATTTCCCTGCCAACTACGTTTAAGAGACTTAAAGACGACCATCATTTATGAGTGAAAAACATTTCCAGGCTTCTATTACACAGGATTGTACCTCCCTAAATTGTTGTCTACCAGCCTACTACCTGCGATTGTCCCATTATTCAGGTATTAATTAATACACGTTTGTACGCTGCCTGTTACTCTGACTTGCAAGCAACAGTCTTGAGAGATTCACATATTTCCCTTTCAAATTCAAAATGCTTTATCGTCACAATGCTTTCATATTTTGCCATGGAACAATCCAATTTACAGCTAGGTATAGTATGTCACAGATATTAAAATGTAGTACCTGGATGTACAAATGGACAGATTTTATTCTTATTTGGGCAAGAATGTTCTTTACTCCATCCTGAACAAACAAGGGATCTAAACTGCTTGACATGGTAGTCTCTCTCTACAGCTGTGTGTGCATATTGGCAGGAGTCTTGTTGGGCACACTCCTCTTCCTTGAGAATTGCCTCACACATTGCATCACTGCAAAAAATGAAAAGAAAAACATACGTATTAACCAATGGAAGATATATCTATCCCATTTATAAATTTATCCCAAGACATTTTTACTTGGCATAAAACTAATCTAAAAACTTTTGGCACATCATAGTACAAGCTGATGAGATGGAGTACTTCTACAGAAAATGCGAATAAGTTGAGGAAGCAATCACACCAAAACTAAGACACAGAAACAACAAAGACAAAAAGAGCTCTTGCTCTTGAAGGGAGGCAAAAAGGGAAAGAATAAGAGGGAAAAAATAGAGAAAGAAAAGGACAGACAAAAACAGAGAAGTGTTCAAACATGATATACATAATATTTACCCATATTCAAAGAAGCCAGGGCTTCTGCGTCTGTCTGCTAAATTGTGGTAGCCTACACACGAGTCAGAATAACACTTGTTCTTAGTGCACATCTTGACTTTGAAATCATAGATGTTGAATCCTGGGAGAAACAAAATTATAACATACATACATACATTAACCCAAAATTAGGAGAAGAAACTTTTTTAACAATACCAAATTTATAATGTTTTACTTTTAGCATTAATCATAACATTAGTCCTTATCTTACCTAATAAATTCAAATAAAACGATTAAAATTATACAGTATCTCATATCATTTTTCTATTTAGGCCACCCTCCCCTCTCAAGAAAAAAAAAAAAAAAAAAATCTATTTCTGTAATACATCTTCTATTCTATCAAATGAGACTAGAAACCAAGAATAAAACAAAAACCATACAAAAATACACTGAAAAGTCACTGTTTTAAACAAAAAACACTGTTGCAATTTTTTTCTCAAGCACTACGTTGCAGGATATTTTTATATTGTGCACACTTACTACACAGACCCATTCTCTCATATTTAGGCCCAAATTCACCACTCACAGCTTATCTGAGTGAGCTAAGCTCATGGTGTAGTACTATGGCACCGACAGTGACCTAGAACCCGTAGTACTATGGCACAATGAAAGGGTTAAAGTAATAATATTTGCACTTGTGCCCTCTGCACAGCTTTGGTGAGAAAGGGGAGCTGCACAGGCCCCTTGTCTCTCCCTCACCAGGCAGTACAGTAGTACAGCCTCTCTTAATTAATGACAAGAGTTCCGTTCCTAAGACCACATTGGTAAACGAATTCATCGCTAAGTGAGGAGCATGCTATAATGGTAATGAGTTATTGTCAATTACCTTCGATATTGTTTTAATGTTACCTTTGCACCATTTATAACATTTCTGGTATATTTTTAACCCTTTCAGGGTCGAAACCCTCGATCCTTAACCCTTAACCCCTTCAGGGTCCAAGGCCAAAATCTGAAGTGGTGCTCCAGTGTCCAAGAAATTTTTGGAAAAAAAAAAAAAAAAAAAAAAAAAAAAAATCTTACAGAATTAAAGAGCATATTTTTGTGAAGGTAATAAGACAAAAAAAAAAATTTCTGATCAGTACTTACCGAGATACAGTGCCAAGAAGTTTGTCCAAAATGATGTGGTGGCGGCAACATCGACGAATTCCACATACGCGCATTACTTTATTTAGCGGTTTTTATAGTTTTTTCTTTTCCTACTAACATTTGGGGCCTGAGAGACCAATACTGTATATAATGTATATACAGGAGGGCCCCGCTTTACGGCGTTCCGCTAATACGGACATTTCAAATTATGACCAAAACTCGCTATACAGCTCCCCCCACCTGTCTTTCTAATACGGTCACAGCGGCCCACCGAGTTTGTTTACATTCTCCCTGAGCACATCTCCTTATTATGTCTGGAAACTTTCCAAAATTTCAAGTGTTTTAAAGTTATTGTATATTTTATATGTATTGTACTTGATAATTAAACTTGTGTACACCTGTACCTAAATAAACTTACACACTGTGCTGGCATGTAGGTACACATTAAAATCACTAAGAGTCTCTCTACTCTTGATGCAATAATAATAATAATAATAATAATAATAGTAATAATAATAGTAATAATAATAATCTCTTGGGCGCATTAATGTCGCATATTACGTTAATATAGACATTTCCCTTAATCTATCTATGATATTTTTTTCAAAATTATATAAGAAACACATTATGTAACACACAAACATGATACATGCACCCACAGTATAAAAATTTATACAAATATATACGAGATGTTTACCAAACGGTTTGTAGAAGTGTCGGAAGAATTACGTTTTCTCTAGCCCGTCACCTGTTACTAGGGATAACTGTAGAAAAATATTCCTTTTGTATGCCTTCACTTTATAGCTATAATTCTGTACTAACTTGTACACGGTAAGAGTATTTTTTTTGTGTTTTAATTATTATAAAAATTTAAAAAAAAAATTTAAAGGAAAAAAGTTTCACAAACTCACAAATGTACATGAATGAACTAAAACTGGACACGAAATTAATACCGTTTTATTTCCCCGGGACCGAGTAAAATCGCCCACAACCTTTCAGTTTTTTTTACACTGTCTGGCTGGGTGTTTACCTGGATTTTAAACCTGGAGGGGTTTCCGGGGGTCAAGGGCCCCCCCGGCCCCGGCCCTAAAGACCAGGCCCCCCTGGGGGAAATCAGACCCTTTGATAAACCCCAGGCTGTTGCTGCGGCTCCCACGAAAACCCAAAAACATAGGGACCCACACCCCCGGTTTACCCCGGCCCTGCTTTGGTCCCGTCCAGTGCCAGCTTGAAGACGGCCAGGGGTCTGTTGGAAAACCCCCCTTAAATGTTGCTGGGGGGCCCGGTTGAAACACCCTCGGGCCCCGGACACTTTTTGTATGGTTCTTAATGTCTGGGTGACACCCTTGGCTTTTCTTTGGGGGGGAGGGGCCCCGTCTCCCAAAAGTCTTTTGCTTTCGTAGGGGGTGTTTTTTGTGGCAGTTCGGTACTAGTCCCTCTAGGATTTTCCAGGTGTTTAAATCAGTTTTCTCTCCCCCTCGTTCCGGGGGAATCGGGTTTTAGGAACCTCAAGGCCCCCAAAATAATTAGGTGTTTTATCTCCGTTAGGGCCGCCGTGAAAGTTCCTTTTCTTTTTTCTAGGCCCGGAATTTCCCCCTTCCCTTAAAGGGTGTTATGTCAGCAATTTTCCCAGCCTGGGAAAAAGAACAAGTGACCTAAGAGTGTCACAGGGGGCTTGGCCTCCCTATTTTTTAAAGGGTTTTCTCTTACCCACCCTGTCATTTTTCTAGCGGGAAGCATTGATAAAAATGTTATGGCCCTTTTGAAGGTGAGATCCTCCGACAGATCACTCCCGGGTTTTTTGACGTTGGTGTTTCGCTCTTTTTGGGGCCAAAATTTGTTTTGTACTCTGATAAGATTTAATTTTCCCCAAAATTTTTTTACCATATTAGAAATTTTGAAATTTTCATCTTTGAACTTCATATTGTTTTCGCAGCCCACTGAAAGATTTGGGGGATGTCTGCCGGGTTTTGCAGTGTCTGCAAGGGAAAGAAAAACCCGGGTCATGCAGATTGGGGTTGTATTTTGAAAAGGAAGACAGGGTGTTTGGCTGAAAATCCTGCTATGTCGGATATAAGGATGAGGAACAAGTGGGAGCGGTACTGTCCTTGTGGAACAGAGCTTTTCCCGTAGTCCTCGGACTTTACTCTGTTGGGGGGACTACTCGGTTTTTCTGTTAGTGAGGAAATTTTAGACCATGGGCCCGACTTTTCCTGTTTTTCCTTTAGCACGCATTTTTGCGCATTCCCCCAGGGGTCAAAACTTGTCGGGCTTTTGCAAAGTCTGTATAAATTACCTGCATTTTTTTTGGTCTTCTATTTCCCATTTAGGACCTTGTGTGTGGCCAAATTTGTTGAGACAGACATCCCGACCTGTTCTAAACCCCATGTTCCCCTGGGTTTTTGTAACTGATGGGTTTCTAGATGCGTGGTGATCGTCCTTCTTGGGGACCCCTTTCAAAGTTTTTTGGGGGATAGGGGAAATGTTGGGTGCTTTTGGCTGTAGTTTCTTTGCTTTTTCTTTACCCCCCCTTTGTGGGGGTGGGGGTATGTCTGTTGTTTTTAGAAAACTGTGGGACCCCCTTTGGCCATCCCCCCCTCTCCATGGGAGGGAAAAGGGCTCGTGATAGGGGTTTCCCTTGCAGCCCTTGATAAACCCACAGGTTCCAGGGATTGGCCCTGGGGCAGAGTGCATGGGCCCAGTCATTTATCGCCTGTTCGAATTTCATTTGGCGCAGGATAACAGGGATAGGCTTGCTTTAAATAAAATTTTTTGTGGCCTTTTCAAAAAAAATTTCATTTTGATCTTCGCATCACCCTGGTTAGGGGCTTGCTAAAAACTGAGTCAAAATTGGGATTTGAGAAATAAATTCATTTCCCGTTTGTCACCCTGTGTAGGACCATCTTTTTTAAGTAGGGGCCCAAATACTGGACGTTTTTTCTCGTTTTTGATTTGGCATAGGAAAAGGAAATACTTTGGGTTTCTTTCGTTTTTCATTTAGGCTTTTTTTTTTTCCGCGTTTCCCACTCCTAAAGGATTCTTTTAGCTTAAGTTCGATCCCTTGCTATTTCTCGGACCAGTGTCCCCCACGCATTTCAGATTATTGCCCTTTTAGCCCCCTCTGTTTTTCCCTTTTCCGTGGGCCGAAAGGGGAGCCCCCTGTCCTTTCGGGTTTTCCCATTTTACTCCTCCTTTTTCTTAGAGGAATAACCCTTTTGTCCCTCCCTCGAGTGCTACCGGTTAATCTGTTCTGGGCATAAGTTGGGGTCTGTGTTTTTTTTTGTATATTTTTCCCGCTTATATCGGTTTAGGATTTGGTTTTTAACTTGGCCCATTTTATTTTTTTTGTTATTAAATTTTAAATTTGGTGAATGCTCCCTTTTGGACAAACCCTTTTATGTCGGTCGGGGGCTCCGCGCATAAAAGACTAAACCCCCCAATTAAATGTTGTGATCTAGTATATTGTTTTTTGATATGGTGTTTTTTCTTATCAGAAACATTGTTAAAAAGTTTGGAGGTTTGTGAAATTCTCCATCTGTAGGCCTATTTTGCGGGTTTTAAAATTTTGGGAATTTTTGGCAGGGGTTTAAAAGCTCGGGGGGAAAGAGTGAGTTTTCATCAAAAGCTCCCCCGGTTTATTACTGCCCCCCAATTTTATTTGCTATTTCCCTTTCCCATTTTTGGGGTCCCTTTAAGTTGAAACCCCCCCGGACCCAAGATGTTGGGTGCAGGAGCGGGAAGGGTTTTTTCCAAAGCCCGGGCAATTTTTAAACCCACCCGGGTTCCCGGAAATTTGGGGGGGGAAATGTTGAAACCCAAAAGGCTTGTAGCAACACAATGACGGGGTTTTTGGGGTTCCGCCCTTTTTACTGCAAAAAACTTCCCTACATCTTTTGGGAGGAAATTTAGCAGTTCGTGCAAAAAAGTGATCGGGCAATTTTCGGGCCCAAACCCCCCCCCCCCCCTTTTCCCTGTTCACTCTGTCACTCGTATATT